AAGGCGTTACTTTTTGGGAGCAAACCTGTAATTTCTCGCTTTTGAATCATGTTGAAAAGCATGGTTTTATCAGAACTGGAAGTTTTCGTTTAAAAAGAAAACCAAAACCAAAATGCATAACAAAACGAATTCCGGAAAAACGCAATCCGGAATTATAAGGGGGGAAAGTCTATACTGGGGCGGTTTTTCCCCCCAAGGGGGAAAGTCTATACTGATTTTGTTCAAAGGGGGAAATTCTATACTGGGGCGCTTTTTCCGCCGAGGGGGGAAAGTCTAACCCGGGCCCGTTTTTCCGGGGGGAAAGTCTATGCGGGGGGAAAGTCTATGCTACAACACCGGGTCCAAATCCCGCGAAATTGTCTATCAACATCCATTTTGCAGACCTCGGATAAAAGCATCATGTCGGACTTTTAAAATTCAAACATATTAGAGGCAGCAAGACAAACGACTGTAAATATATTACAAGAAACCAGTAGCAGATATTGTTTTTCCCGAAGAGAAAATTTTTGAAAGAAAAAAATCCCCTTACACTCTTAAAAAAAGTTCATATAAAATTATTTTATTGTGTTCATGCATTATACAATTTGTTGATACATGAAAATTCACTTGGCAAGTTGTACTTTTATCATTTTTGCTTTTCTTTGTACGACTAAGTGAAGTCTATTAAATTTATTTTAGAATAAATTAATTTAGGAAGCAATCTGATTAAAATCAGATCCTATGATCCGCTCACATAAATCGCTACTTGTTTAGCGATCTATGAGCGCGGATCAAAGGATCTGCCCACGTGAAAAAAAATATGGGCTGGATTGTTTTTATTGGGGTGGACCCCCCCCCCCCCCCCCCCGAAAAACAGGATCTGTGCCTTACATATATGAATTATATAATACAGAAAAGATAAATGCTCTGAGGAACAGGATAATCAAGGTTGGTACTTTTTGCGCGAGAGATTATAGTATTTTTTTTGGTGGTGGTGGTGAAGGGGGGGGGGGGGGTATCGATATCAATAACTCGTAAAGTTTCAGTCAAAGTCTCACAAGATTTTGGTAACTTGTTGATTAAACATAAATTAAAATGTTTGATAATAAATCTGGAAAACATATTCGAAAGGATAGTTTTAATTTTATTCAAAAGTTTACTATGCGTTTCTTTTTCCTTTCAGTATAGTTGAAACCGTAAAAGAAATTCAGGGGCGGATCCAGCAATTTTCGAAAGGTCGGTGCCCCAGCACTCATGCATAGAATCACAACACGACCACTTGAAGTCCGTAACTACATATATTTATAAGAAAGGGGGGCTCCAAAAGCAGTTGACAAGCAAAAAAAAAAAAAAAACAACAACAACAAAAACAAAAAAAAAAAAACCTTCGCACCACACTCTAAAGTCTTTCTTTGGGGGTAGAGGGGGCTTTCTGTAACTTTTATCTTCGGAATGCATTATTTACTTTCATTTAATGCTTGAATCTGCGTATTTTCAGGCAATAAAAACTGTGGAAGGAGTTTCCAAATCAAAATATTAATGAAAACTACAGCAAAAGATTATTCTCAGAAAAAATGAATCCCCTCCATCTGCATTTTTTTTGCTTGTTACTTGTGAGTGGTCGGAACTCTTAGCCGGGGTTTGGAAGGTACACGGAAGAAGGTACGCGAAAATCTACAGATCTACAGAGCAGAGCGGACAAAGATTTTTCATTATTTCAAAATATTAGACTTATTCTTTATTACAGAATTTTTTCTCTCTATGCACAAAAATAAAAGGGGGTTCCAACCATCGGACCCCCCCCCCTGGATCCGCCAATAAATATTACACTGTAGGGCTACAAGGATGAGACTTAATTGTACTCCTGTACAAGGTGTGGCGGCATCTTATGCGCAGTTGACCTTGTCCCATGTGCATTTTGCCTAATTTCTCCGAGTCCGAAAACAGTATCTCCCAAACCTGGAGTAATCGCTGTCCTTCATTCCTTCACCTTATTTTTAAGCCAAAAAAAAAAAAAAAAAAAAAAAAAAAGATATGGATGCACACATCCTGCCTTAATTTCTTTTCTTTATAAATATTTTAAAGTACTCAAATCATATCCTAAAATATACACAGGGTCAATCTAATAGATAAAAATGGGTATATAATGTACTACATAGCGGTAGTATATGATCCCTTATTATATGTATTCCGATATACTAGTATATATGATTTCGATAATATATTCTATAATACATTTCGAGGTTGGGATCCTGATATACAATTTTGCGTGAGTTACGTTCCTATGAAAGTACAAAAAATAATCATGACGTAGAAAAACTTACGCGCCATCTAGCGTTAATTCAGGAAATATATGTTTTTATGGACGCCATCTAGCGACAATTCAGTGAATAATCGTTGGTTTTGCATTGGTGATCGTTGGTTTCGCATCGGAGTCTGTTGATTTTGCAAACGAGTCTGTTGATTTTGTTTTTAAGGTTGTCTGTTTTGTATTTCATTATGTTTATAAAATTAGTTGTTAGTTTTGCATAAACGTCTTTTTTACCCTTTCCGCCGCCCATAGATGGCTCCGTTACATAGAGGCAAGTAAAAAGAACTAATTCTGATCGAGTTGTTGCTGATTACCATACTGTCTATTTTGTTGATCCCGACGTCATATTTTTCATTTCTCTTGGTACATATATAATTCATGGGCGCCGGAAGGAAATTGAAAGGGGGGGGGGGGGGCTAAACCAACAAAAAAGGTAAATCCCAATTTTCAATGCCTATATAATGTCTATTTTCGCAAAAAAAGTGGGCTACGCCTCCCAGCCCCCCGGTTCCGACGCCTATGCAATTTATCTTCATCTATCAGTTAATTTTGATTTACAAGTTACCATTCTCACAGTCCTTTATTGACAGGGTCGTGTTCTACTCAGGTGACTGTTAAGGTCCACGGACTTCTTGTTTATGTTAAGAAAGTCTATTTGGAAAATCTTATTTTAGCATGAGAAGAGTTGGGGGATACAAGGCAAGGGCAATCCTCTACTCTAAGCCTACATACATTGTTCAATTCGATCATGTATTAAACAAGAGGCCCAGGGGCCACATCGCTCACCTGAGCAATTTGCTAGGAAAAAGCACATATCAGTTCAGAACTGAAAGTTTACTGAGTTGGGGGGGGGCTTGAATTTTAACCTCCCAGGGGGTCATGGTTTGAACAAACTAGAATCTACACTACCTCAGGATGATTCCATATAAATATCACTAAGCATGGATTTGAAGTACTTGAAAAGAGGATTTCAAAAGATTTCCCTATATATTCCTATGTAAAACTTTGATCGGCCATTTTGGCCCCACCCTACCCCCGGGGGTCATGATTTGGACAAACTTGAATCTACACTACCTGAGGTTAATTTCACATGAGTTTCATCTTTCCTAGCCCAGTGGTTCTTGAGAAGAAGATTTTTAAAGATTTTTCCTATATATTCCTATGTAAAACTTTGATCGGCCATTTTGGCCCCACCCTAGCCCCGGGGGTCATGATTTAAACAAACTTTAATCTACACTACCTGAGGATGATTCCACATAAGTTTCATCTTTCCTGGCCCAGTGGTTCTTGAGAAAAAGATTTTTAAAGATTTTTCCTATATATTCCTATGTAAAACTTGGGTCGGCCATTTTGGCCCCACCCTAGCCCCAGGGGTCATGATTTGAACAAACTTGAATCTACACTACCTGAGGATGATTCCACATGAGTTTCATCTTTCCTGGCCCAGTGGTTCTTGAGAAGAAGATTTTTTTAAAATTGCCATTAATTTTTCTCTAATTCATAATTATCTCCCCTTGGAAGAGGGCGTGGCCCTTCATTTGAACAAACTTGAATCCCCTTCACCCAAGGATACTTTGTAGCAAGTTTGGTTGAAATTGGCCCAGTGGTTCTTGAGAAGAAGATGAAAATGTGAAAAGTTTACAACGACGACAACAACGACGAGACAACAGACAACGGACAAATTTTGATCAGAAAAGCTCACTTGAGCCTTTGGCTCAGGTGAGCTAATAATATGTGGTAATAAATCAATGTTTAGGAACATCAATTTTTAGGAACTAAAATCTATGGTTCAGTTTAGCCTGGGTCAAAATGAATGCTTACTGATATTTATAGGGAATCATCCTCAGGTAGTGTAGATTCTAGTTTGTTCAAATCATGACCCCCTGGGGATTAAAATTCAAGCTCCCCCCCCCCAGTTAACTTTCAGTTCTGATCTGATATGTGCTTTTTCCTAGCCAATTGCTCAGGTGAGCGATGTGGCCCCTGGGCCTCTTGTTTATTATTATTTTATTACGAGAAAAAAAAACTATATATCGTTTAATAATTGAAAAAAGTTGTTACATGTGCGTGAGCGTGTTGTTGCCACAAAGTTTGGTAATTCCAGCTAGCTTTAATCTTGGCTAATTTAATTTTAAATTTGAAAAAAAAAAATAAAAGTTGATAATTCCAATTTTAATCTTAGTTATTCCAATTTTAAAATTGGCAACATTGGAAAACCCAACTTTTAAATGGAAAAGCCAACTTTTAAGGTGGAAAAAACAACTTAAAAGTTTGAAAAGCCAACATTTAAGTTGGAATTACATGCTTTAAAAAATATTAGTTGGTACTTATGAATACGATCCCGTAATTAAGTTGATTGTTTTTCATCATAGCAATGCCAGGGGTCCTGAGTCAACACATTGCCCTTTTTCCAACGCCAACGTGTTGACTTGGGATTCCTGCTTGCGAGGATGTTTCTTTTTTTTGGGGGGGGGGGCATAACTTTTTGAAATCATAGTGGAAGGTTACCGCCCCCTTTCCCTAATTAACGTTTCTGATATGTTTTGTATTTATTCCATCAGAAATGGCATGAAGAATAAAACAAACAAACAAACGAAGCAAATTAGTTGAGACTGGGATGAAGATTACTAGTTTTACCGCCAGCATTCTGACGAACTACTTTTACCGCCTTCCCATTCTACTTTCGGTTTGCGCGATCTGGGTTTTTGGAAATTTTTCCCTATCTTTTTAAGGTAAACAGATTTAAATTAGACTCCGTAAACACAGAAAGGCCTGCTAGAGAGTGAATACTGGCACTTAGGAATTACGAAAGGAGGTTTCTTAGATTATGACAATCGACAATTTTGTATGTTTTTGATTTCTTTCCTGGTGTCGTTAAGCTATTTTCTATTGAGAAGTTGATGGCTCGTTTTAATACTCCCTTCAACTTTGTTTAAAAAGGTATGGCCAAAGTTAAAGATTTTTAAAAAGGGGTCAAACTCCAAGGGGTCAAATAGTTTGAAATATTTACACCCAAGGAACCAGTTTCTCAATAGAGAATACCGTTAATTAAGCCACTTGACAGAAAAAAAAGTAGGCCTAGTATTAAAAGGGGCTGAATTATTCTTTCCTCGCTTTCTACCTGGTCCTACAGCATTCCGTCTATTACATGTATGATATAACAAAAATTAGTTAGAATAATCTAACTGTGTCTTGGGACAAACCGGGTCCATAGGACATTTATCATTTTAACGATGGAACATTCTATCTAAACAAAAATATGTACATGAAGTTAATATGTGTAAGACATGTAAGATCATCATGGAATTATTATGCTGTAGCATTTTGTTTAAAAGGACAGCAAAACAATTTTAATTCTGAGTCCAGGACTGGGATCATTGACCTCTATCATATCAATACTAGGTATATAAGTCTCTGATAAATTAGAAACAAAAACTATAAATCACAGAACAGAAGCTATGAATATTGTATTTAAATTGTAAAGGTAATATTAGAGGGTAATGAACATTTTATTCTTTTTCAGTTTTTCATTGCATTTAATACATGGTACGTATGTGAAATATTCTCATACACTAGCTATTGTTGTTTGTAGTTGACAGGGATCTCATCCTTTCAAGCTGTAAAAATATCTTCAAGGACAATTCCAGACTTCATGGAGGAAGACGCAGCACCATGTCAGTCAGAGGTGATTCGCTTTCACATCTTTATAATATGATCATTCCATTCCTATGAATACTGTCACATATGTATTTAGTCTATATATGTACAAAAAAAATTGAATTTCTTTTTTTTTTGCCAGATTGAAACAGATGCCAGACCAGGCACTTCAGATTCAGCAAAGAAATCTCAAAGTAGAGATCAACCACAAATGATCCACTTTGAACACAGTAAATATCATTTATAATTCAAAATTTACAAAAAAAAATAATCATTATGTCATGCACAAATGCATCTCCTAAATATAGGAATTGAAATATTGTTATATTTATACTAATATCTTAAAGCTACAATGTACACTTGATACACGTAATATACAGATTAACATCATAGTCTACTTGAAAAATCCTTATCAATGAATTCCTGTCCTCCAATATTTTTTATGAATTTACCTGAAGTTTTTTAGATCACCGTCCATTAGTTAATAAGACACTGTATAAAATTGATAATTGTATCTTTACACTGAAGTAGCTTGGAGAAATCCATAAGTCTGAATAAAAAGTGAATTTAGCTCATATGTCTTTTTTTTAATTCCTTTATTTGAGGAGAGATGAGGAAACTTACGGATTTAACATTAATTGAGGGATAGAGAACTGATACTTATATTTCAAATGAATTTAATGAAATTAAGGTACATGTACTGAAATTAGAATGAAGACAGTAATAATTGTGGAATTGAAAGATCTTGTAATGGTCATCTCCTTGCAAGACAGTAATTTATCAACATTCCTGATTTCTTTTTCATTCTGCTGTCATTTCAGGAGGAGGGGGTAGAACCACATTACACTTGGGTACAAATCCCAGTGACAAACTTCCAAATATACAAATAGGAGATCAGAATTTTATGGTAGTAGGAGATCACGGTGCGTCAAGTTCAAAGTGGAAGAAAAAAGCCAAGAAAAAGGACAGGAAGAAGATTGAAGGTGGAATATTATACAGATATAGCCCTTTTATGAGGTCGATATACTTTTCTGTGAAGTCAATATATCTGTGGGTTGATCCAATGACAGGGCTCTATATATCTACTTTATTTCTAATATTTTCTGTAATATATTGTTTAATTTATTTGTTGACTTTGTTTGCAGGGAATATTATCAGAATGTAAAGAAAAAATGTCATATAATCCCTATTAACTGCCCCAGTGCTTAGAAAAATTGAAAAAAGGGGGCAGTTATTTCAGTTATAATATTTAATGTCATATTTTAACTTCAAGAAATCTTTTGAAAAGAAAATAAGAAAACCACTAAAAGGTTATCTAACTTTCCTTTAAGTTAAGATAATCCACCCAAATTACAAAATTCCTAAATGGTTTATTTTTCCACTGAGAAATTAGAGAATACCAAGTAGAACAAATCTTATAGGTAACTTTCACTTTCTGAAAAACATAGTGATAAGTCATTCTTAACAATCTTTCACTTTCATGAACGTACAGGTTACCCAATAAGCATTGAAGTTTCATTTTTACTTTCTTCAAATTTTGGCGGACTTGAGATTTAATCACTGTACAGGGGGTCCTTATTTCCTGACAATTGAAAAAGACCTGGGGGTGCCTATTTAGGCAGGGGCCATTTATAGGTATTTTATGGAATGCATCACCGTTATTCTTAAGTTTAAAGTAAAACAACTATAGACTACTGTAGACCATACTACAGGTATTACTTCCCACTCATGTGCAAGTTTGAAGCAATTCAGGGAAAAAATTCATCCAATTTTGTGTGTGTATGTATGTTTAAAGACATGCAAAACCAGTTCATGCACAGGTCCAGGATTTTTTTTTAAAAAGGGGGGGGGGGTTCCACCCCAGTCAAAAAATCTCCTACGGAGAAAGGACAAGATATGTAACATGAGCAGATCTAGAGGGGGGGTTAGGGGATCCGGGCCCCCCCCCCCCTCCTGGAATTTGCAGAATTATCAAATTTATATGCTTAACCAAGACCTTGGAACCCCCCCCCCCCAAAAAAAAAAAAAACGCAGATCACCCACCACCACCCCCACCACCCCACCCAAACCAGGGATCAAAAGGGGTCTTAGCCTAGTATCTGAATGTCCTTTTTTGACAAGAAAAAAAAAACAATAATAAAAGTAAAGTTCATTCACAAATACATGTATGAAAAAAGCCTATTAACACATGGTGGGTCCAAAGTCTTTTCTTATTTGCTTCAGCATATGCACATTGTTACTCTCTTCCTTTATCCACTCCCCTCTTCTAAATCTTTGCCAGTAATGCATAGATAATAAATTTTACTATGATATTGAAATGAAAATGTTCCATTCTGTTCATTAGAAAGTGAATCCCAAGAAATATCTGCAGATGATTCACAAATTACCAAGCAAATATGAAAACAGTTTTAGGAATAATGTACCAGTTGAAGTAGAATTAAGGAAGGAAAAGTAAACACAGATTTAATTTCCCCGTTCTAGATTTAAAACTGAAAATAATGAATCAACTATCTTATCTGTGGAAATTCCATCAGGGTAAGCCATACAGTTGACAAGAATAGTTAATATCAGGGAAATTTAACAAGCATACCGGTATTATAGCAGTACACATGTACTTGCATGTAGTTTCATGTAATGTTGGATCGAATTTTAAAAATATTTCACAAAAATATTTCACAAATTCCCAAGCTTTCACCTGCAGTCCATTCACAGATCTTAAAAAATTGTAAAAAAAAAATGTAAAAACCTTTTGTAAATAGAGAAAAGAAATATTGTTTCTCTTTGTAGATGTATTTTTTTATTCCAGATAATATATACAAAAAAAAATACATTTTTAAAAATAAAAAACTTAGATTTTATTGACATTTTCCTTTTTTTTTACCCAGTGCCTGACAGAGCATTAACAGAAGAAGAATGTGATAAACTGTCTGAGAATTTAGGAAAGGATTATAAAAAATTCTGTCGAAGGCTAGGTTTCAAAGAGGTTCACATTGAACAAGTAGAAATGGACTTCAGAGATGAAGGGCATTATGAAATTACTTACCAACTTCTCAGGAAACTCAAACACATGAGAAAAGACAATCTTCAAGGCGTTGTGGAGGCCTTACAGAGTGTAGACAGAGATGATATTTTGGAGGAGTTGAATATTACATAGAATTTTCTAAAAAGTTTATAAATTATTTTGTAAATATATAGCAATTAAAATTATTTTATATTGTACATAAATTCCTTGAAAAAAATCTGTGATGCTAATACATACTTTTAATAAAATTACAATGCATTTTGTTAAATTCTTTTTTATTCTTTTGATTTTTTTATATTAGATAATAGCCATCATATTTTTTTCAGTTATGAGGCGTATATAATGTAGATTCCTTATTTTACGCGAGTACTAAATATCACAAAATGATCTACAGAAGTCAAATTACGATAAATTGAACTGCATATGTTGATCGGGAATTCGAGTACTAGTAATTTATTTTTTCGAGTTGTTATTCTGCGAAATTATTTTTAAAATAAATTCCCCGTGTATATGTTTGAATCTACAGTAAATCATACTTAATATAGCTACGATTACATTTTTTGTCTTCAAGTAAACAACGAGGCGAGGGAAAGATGTAGCTTCTTAAAAAGATTCTGTGAAGGATTCATTAAATTTCATTCAGTGGTAAAAGAGGAGTCGCGGATAAGAGATGGGTACCCCAAAGCGCAACGGACGGACGTACAGACAGACATCCCCACCACTATATCCCCCCTTCTTTTCAAATGGGGGGGTATAAAATCAATGGAAATACAGCATACGAGGCTGAAAGTGTCAAAGTCATATATAATATGGAGATAGATGCCCTTCTCGCTATCACAACTGTTAACTGTGAGCAAAAAATGGTTCCAACATTAACAAAAAAGTTATTTTCCCTTCACCCCTCCCACCTGGATTTGTTAGACACCTATATAAAGCTCCAAATTAAGATAAACTCCAGAATAACTTCAGATAAGTCTATAGAATCAGTTCATTGATGCGAGCAACAATTGAATATTATAAATCTGTTCACATGTTTCAATTCTGAATTATTGCATACGAAGCCGCTCTCAACATTTGAATGTCAAATGAATTTATGTAAACAAAAGTTGCATTGATACAGTACTCTCATCAGTTGTATAAATATTATGAATGTATGTACTGATTACTGCTTCAACTGATGCGCACATCAAATGCGTATATAAACTATATATATATTACGGAAGCGTATTAGTGCCACTTGCACACTTTATTTTTTTTTAATTTCTACACTTTAATCTGTAAATTTTACACTTTAATCTGTAAATTTTACACTTTAATCTGTAAAATTTACACTTTAATCTGTAGATTTTACACTTTAATCTGTAAATTTTATACTTTAATCTGTAAAATTGACACTTTAATCTGTAAATGTTACACTTTAATCTGTAAATTTTACACTTTAATCTGTAAAATTTACACTTTAATCTGTAAAATTTACACTTTAATCTGTAAATTTTACACTTTAATCTGTAAATTTTACACAATAATCTGTAAAATTTACACATTAATCTGTAAATCTGTAAAATTTACACATTAATCTGTAAAATTTACACTTTAATCTGTAAATTTTACACTTTAAAGTGTAAATTTTACACATTAATCTGTAAAATTTACACTTTCATCTGTAAATTTTACACCTTAATCTGTAAAATTTACACTTTAATCTGTAAATTTTACACTTTAATCTGTAAAATTTACACTTTATTTGTTTATTCACATAGTCAATTTAGCATCTTCACACATCCTCAGTAACACATTTTTATGCCAACAGACCATGTTTCGTGCATGATAAAATTTAATTCAGATGTTTTATTTTAAAGTAAAACTTTTCTTTGAATATAAAGTAAAGAGCGTATCAAACATACATGCACATATTCCCGATCACAGGTGCTTGGGGACCCCCCCCCCCCTCCAATATAGATTTCAGGGCCTGTTAGACTTTTTTCAAATAAATAATATATGGATGACACAATTGTGATATAATCTATCCTAAATTCAGAAAATTTGCTTAAACTAACATTTTATTAAAATTTCTATACGATATTTTCTATTTAGATAAGATCTATAAATTTTACAGTGTAAATTTTACAGATTAAAGTGTAAAATTTACACTTTAAAGTGTAAAATTTACACTTTAAAGTGTAAAATTTACACTTTAAAGTGTAAAATTTACACTTTAAAGTGTAAATTTTACACTTTAAAGTGTAGAAATTAAAAAAAAAAAGTAAAGTGAGCAAGTGGCACTGATACGCTTCCGTAATATATATACATTTGTTTTGAACATATTTTATTGACAAGCAAAAGGATAAGAAACAAGTTCTAACAACTTACTAGTTCTTCTCCTTAAAAAAAACACACATAATAATTGTCATGCAAAATAGTAGCAAAAACGTGTACAAATAAGAGTCAATAATATATCTAGCTAAATCTACAGGATTCATTTATAAATTTATGAACAGCGGAAAAAATGCCAATGTTTACTTCTATTGAGAGATTTTCGTTGCCCCAGATATACATTTAGTGAATAGAGCAATAACTGTTTTGATATATACATAATATGCGTGTGCATCAATTCAAAAGCGCCCAGTGTA